GTTGTATGTGTCTAGCAGTTTATCCAGTTCCTCTGGATGGTCTCAATCTCCTGACCTCGTGATCCGCCCGTCTCGGCCTCCCAAAGTGCTGGGATTACAGGCTTGAGCCACCGCGCCTGGCCATTATTTTTTAAATGAGGCAAATCTCTCATGTACCATTTGTGGGCAAAACTCCAGTGGTGTTTCCTCTGCCCTCACACCATCACAGTTACCAACACATAAGACTGGTGACCAAAGGTATTGGGTGGGCCAGGAGCAGTGGCTCACACCTGTAATCCTAGCTACTCAGGAGGCTGAAGCGGGTGGATCACCTGAGGTCAGGAGTTCGAGACCAGCCTGGCCAGCATGGTGAAACCCTGACTCTACTAAAAATACCAAAAAAATTAGCCAGGCATGGTGGTGGGCACCTGTAATCCCAGCTACTCAGGAGGCTGAGGCAGGAGAATTGCTTCAACCCAGAAGGTGGAGGTTGCAGTGAGCCAAGATTGCGCCATTGCACTCTAGCCTGTGTGACAAGAGTAAGACTCCATCTCAAAAAAAAAAAAGTGTGGGTGTCTCTCCCCACACACCAAGCAACAGACCAGCTGGGTGGCCTCCAATTCCATTCCAACTCTGTCTACCGGGAGACAGTGTCAGATCCCACAGGTTGAGGGCTCAGCCCCCAAGACTGCATCTCCCTTCCCTCAGACCGTAGTCAAAAGTCCAGGCCTCCAGAACTTCTGCCTGACCAGCTTCAAGTTGGGGTTCCCACGATCCCCTCTTTGGGTTTGATAATTTGCTGGAGCAGCTCACAGAACTCAAAGAAACACTTATGTTTAGTGGCTTATAATAAAGGATACTACAAAGGATAAAGATGAAGAGATGTGTAGGGTGAGGCATGGGGGAGGGTGCGGAGTGTGCACGCCCTCCCTACGTGCCCCACCGTCAAGGAACCTGCACATGGTCAGCTACCCAGAGCTCCAAGAAGCCAGTCCTCTTGGGTTTTTAATGGAAGCTTCATGACAACAGCATTCCTTACACCAGGGTATAGGGTGAGGAGGAAGGTCTTTCTGAAAGTGGGGGGGAACAGCAGAGCCCTGCCTTGGGGCAGGGGAAAGGAGGGCAGAATGTCAAGAGGTTGTTTCCTGTGGCCTGCTCCTGAGGCCTGACACACTCAACATTAGAACAAAAGACTGAAGAAGGGCTATGAGGATGATGAGCCAGGAGCCCTGGACGAAAACCAATGTATGTATAACACCACGGTACCGATGTAGAACTCGGTGATATGAACAAATTTTCAAAGTATAGAATAGTATGTTAACATGCTGTTGTCTGTATTTAAAAATATACCGATACCAATATATTTGATTACATAAGCATGGGGTACCTGGAGTGCCTCAAAAGGCAGCTGGTAACAAATCATTGCCTGAGTAGATGTGAAGGACTGGAGGACAGAGTAGGAGCGAGATTTACTTTTCATTTTATATCCTTCTTTATTATTTTTTGCCCCTCTAGCAATTTGTGTGAGCTTTGTGTATACACAGGGTTCCTTTTTTTTTTTGGAGACAGAGTCTCGCTCTGTCTTCCAAGCTGGAGTGCAATGGTGCAATCTTGGCTCATTGCGACCTCTGTCTCCCAGGTTCAAGCAATTCTCCTGCCTCAGGCTTCCAAAGAGCTGGGATTATAAGCGCGCGCCACGATGCGCAGCTAATTTTGTATTTTTAGTAGACAGCATTTTGCCATATTGGCCAGGCTGGTCTCGAACTCCTGACCTCAGGTGATCCAACCACCTTAGTTAGCCTCCCCAAAGTACTGGAATTACAGGCGTAAGCCACTGCACCCAACCCATAGGATTCTTAATTTTTGTAGGTTTTGTTTTGTTTTGTAGAGATGGGGTTTCACTATATTGCCCAGGCTGGTCTCGAACTCCTGGGCTCAAGCAATCCGCCTGCCTCAGCCTCCCAAAGTGCTGGGATTACAGGCATGAGCCACCACACTTGGTGCCCTCTTGTGTGTATTTTTTTTTTTTTTTTTTTTTTTTTTTGAGACGGAGTCTCGCTCTGTCACCCAGGCTGGAGTGCAGTGGCCAGATCTCAGCTCACTGCAAACTCCGCCTCCCAGGTTCACGCCATTCTCCTGCCTCAGCCTCCCGAGTAGCTGGGACTACAGGCACCTGCCACCTCGCCCGGCTAAGTTTTTGTATTTTTAGTAGAGACGGGGTTTCACTGTGTTAGCCAGGATGGTCTCGATCTCCTGACCTCGTGATCCGCCCGTCTCGGCCTCCCTTGTCTGTATTTTTGATGCAGTTTCCCCTCCAGTCTTCATTTCCCTGATTGCTGACTTCTGACTTCTTAGAATCCTCTTGCATTCTAGTGGATCCCACAGCTAGTGAGCCCCACAGCTCTGAGTTCCTGATCAGACCTGCCTTCTGAGATGCACAGGCTGCAGGAGGGCAGGGCCTGGCCTTGGCTTCCCCCGACACTCTCACCACCACCCACCCATCTGCAGCCCTAGGTTAGGAATACTGAAAGGGCAGCCTGGTTAGGACTCCTAGTTGGCCACAGAATGGGGGGTAGCCCCCAGTGTTTGCTCAGCAGAATGGATCAGGAATCAGAACTAGCTTCCCTGTACCCCACATCTTGTGGCCCTTAGGCATACCACCCAGATAGGTGCCAAGGATTCCTCTTCTGGAAGGGAGGTAGAGGCTAAATTCTGGCAATGTCTAGATAGCATGTATTGTTAAAATGTATCAAAGTGTAGCCAGGCATGGTGGCCCTGTAGTCCCAGCTACTCAGGAGGCTGAGGTGGGATGTCTTGAGCCTGGGAGGCAGAGGTTGCAGTGAGCCGAGGGCACCCCACTGTACTCCAACCTGGGTGACAGAGCGAGACTCTGTCTCAGGAGGAAAAAAAAAAAAAAACAGCACCCCTGTATATACTTTTTTTTTTTTTGAGACAGAGTCTCACTCTGTCGCCTGGGCTGGAGTGCAGTGGCGCCATCTTGGCTCACTGCAACCTCCGTCTCCCGGGTTCAAGCGATTCTCCTGCCTCAGCCTCCTAAGTAACGGGGATTACAAGCACCCGTCACCACATCCAGCTAATTTTTTGTATTTTCAGTAGAGACAGGGTTTCACTGTGTTGGCCAGATTGGTCTCGAACTCCTGACCTCGTGATTCACCTGCCTCAGCCTGTGCTGGGATTACAGGCGTGAGCCACCGCGCCCGGCCTGTATATACTTTTTCATGCACACATGATCATTAAATCTGTAGGATAAAACTTCTAGAATTCTTGAAGCAAAGGCTTTCTTTCCAAGAAAGTGCACCAATTTATAGTGAATGGCAATGCCTGTGTCCTTAACGGACTACCCAGCCTACACATCAATGTCATCATCTTGCAACACTCCCAGAGGGAGAAAGGGCAGGCATTATGATTACCACCGTTTTTAAGCAATTAATTAATTAATTACTTTTTTGAGACAGAGTCCCACTCTGTGGCCCAGACTGGAGTGCAGCGGCACCATCTTGGCTCACTGCAACTTCCGCCTGCCTCCTAGGTTCAAGTGATTCTCATGTCTCACCCTCCTGAGTAGCTGGGATCACAGGCATGTGTCACGACGCCGGCTAATTTTTGTATTTTTAGTAGAGGACGGGGGTCTCACCATGTTGGCCAGGCTGATCTCGAACTCCTGACCTCCGCTGCTCCACCCCCTTCGGTCTCCCAAAGTGCTGGGATTACAGGCGTGAGCCGCCGCACCCGGCCCAATACCATCGTTTTCTAGAAATGAGTAAACTGAGGCTCAGAGAAGTAACTACTTAGTCTAACAGAGCCGGAATCAGATCCTGGGTTTCTAGATTCTCATTCCAAGAGCCTAACTCGGCAGTGGGGAAGGTGGCTCCTGGGCAGTCAACTGACTGCACAGTTCCGCCCCAGGCGGGACCTGGATCTAGAAGTGCTCGGAGCTCGCGGGTGGGAGGATCAGGATGACTGCTGCTCCCGGAGCCAGCTTTCAACTCCCACCCCGCACAGGAGCCTCAGCAGCGCGAGCGGTCGCCCAGACCAGACCTGGAACCCTTGCAGCACGACCGCCGCGCGCTTCCCTCCGGATCCAGCTCCCACCGTCAGAGCGTCCTCCCTCCGCCGCGCCCCGCTCAGCCCAGGCTGGGGCGGGGCCTCGGAAGCGGTCGCCCTCGCCCCGGACAGGGCGGTCCCTCGTTAGGCCAAGTTTTCAAACGGCAAAAATCAACCGCGCGGAAGAGACTCTGTCTTCTCTTCACTCCGCATCCCAGACGCCTCAGAGAAACTGCCTTTCAGACCTTCGCGGCCTCTCCTGTGCCCGCAGCGCCCGGGAGCTGGGGAACCGGGTTAGCCACATCGACCGCAACGTTCGCGCGCCACCTTGTGTCCGTTCCTTTAGCTTCCAGGGACAACCCGGAAACCACATTTCCCAGCGTGCCTAGCGCCTCTGCGCAGGCGCAAATAGTTTTCCCTCGTTGCCATGGGAACCTCGCCCCTTCTAGAGTCCCGGCCGCTTGACTCAGCGAGGCGCGGTGTGGTTTTTTCCTGAGGTACTCTGGGGCTGGGACCCGGTCTGCAGAAGGTCCAGGGGGCGGCGTAGGGGGATTGAGGAGAGGAGACCAAGCCGGCCTTGCCTCCGGGACCAGAGCTTCCAAATAATCTGGGGCGTCCCGGCGTGCACACGCCCCTGAGGCCTTGCCGTTCTGAGGAAAGGGGCTGGCGAGACGACCAGGGTCCGCGATGCCGGGGTCCGGCTGTGGCCCGCGAAGGCCCGCTCGCCCGCGCCGGCGTCTTGTCACCGCGAGCCGAGGGCCTTTGCGCGGCCGACAGGTACTCCCGGGAGCTGGCAGCCCACGGGGAGGGTTCGCGGCGCAGGTGAACGCGGAGGTAGAATCAGACAGGGCGGTGAGTGCGCCCGGGGCTGGATCTGGCTCAGCTGCTGGTGGATTCGGAACCCGGGAGGCCCCCAGGCCCTGTGGGCTTCGGTTCCCCCGCTCTGTAAAATGAGGCTTGGACTGGAATTCTAGTGCCCATTGCGATTCCGTTGCAGAGCCGCCCCTGGCTCTGTGTGACCTACGAGTTCCTTCTTCTGTAAAATAAGGAGGCTGAAACGGATGATCCCTAACGTCTCTTCCGATGGTGCAGTATGTTACACACTGCTGGCTCCATTGCCCCTTATTGCACCCCAAGTGCAAGAAGAAAGAAAGGAACCTGGGATGATCTGAGCAAGACTCTCAGCTTGAGATCTAGAGTCAGAGAAACTTGGGTTTGTGACTTTGGACAAACTTATTACATCTCTTGAGACTCAGCTGCTTCATTTGCAAGATTGGGGATAATGTTAATACTACCTCCGGTTTTTGAGGATTAAATGAGATGACACATGTAAGTTTTTAGCCCAGGGACTGCATAGAGGAAGTGCCATCCCAGGTCCCAGCTATCGTTTCTGACAATTTCTACAACAGTCCCTAGCCACCATAAGACCTTTTCTTAATTTTTGAATTCACTTTATTTCTGGGCAAGTTCATTCTCCTAGGAAGGAGGGTTTTTTGTTTTTTGGTTTTTGTTCGTTTGTTTGTTTTGAGACAGTGTCTCACTGTCACCCAGGCTGGAGTGCAGTGGTGTGATCTCTGCTCACCCCACCCTCCTCCTCCTGGGTTCAAGCGATTATCGTGCCTCAGCCTCCTGAGTAACTGGGACTACAGGCGTGTGCCATTACTCCCGGATAATTTTTGTATTTTTTGGTAGAGATGGGGTTTCTCCCCATGTTGGCCAGGCTGGTCTCAAACTCCTGGTCTCAAACTCCTGGCCTCAAGAGATCTGCCCACCTCGGCCTCCCAAAGTGTTGGGATTACAGGCGTGAGCCACCACACCTGGCTAGGCAGGATGGTTTTGTAGGCTGATTTTGATGGGGAAACCTGAGTCTTTTTACCCAAGGTTGGATGCTCAAGGCCAGTGTATTGCCTCCATTCAGCTGTAGGCTGAATTATAGCGTTACCACACAGCATTTAGGGAGGATGCAGGCTTAATGCCACATAGCAGGGTAGACACTTAAGGTTCATAGAGGATATGAGTACTTACATGTTATGATGCAAAAGCAGCTGAATATAGAATTATGTATTTACATAAGACTGGTTACTTTCATGGTTATAAGGAATGCATAAGAATTCTATGCTGCTTGAATTGAGTTCAAGCTTTGTGTTAATTGAGAAAATTGTAACAAGGAGTTTTAAATTAATGAAAAAAGTATATATTTTTAAAATCTGGGAACATCCAGTAATTTCACAAACAAGCCTTCATTCGTCCAACAAACATCTTGTCTCACTTTGTCTTCCAGGCTGGAGGGCAGTGGTGTGATCTCGGCTCACTGCACCCTCTGCCTCCTGGGTTCAAGCGATTCTTCTGCCTCAGCCTCTCAAGTAGCTGAAATTACAGGCACACACCACCATGCCTGGCTAATTTTTGTATTTTTAGGAGAAGTGGGGTTTCACCATGTTGACCAGGCTGGTTTTGAACTCCTGACCTCAGGTGATCTGCCCACCTCAGCCTCCCAAAATGCTGGGATTGGCCGGGCACGGTGGCTCAAGCCTGTAATCCCAGCACTTTGGGAGGCTGAGACGGGCGGATCACGAGGTCAGGAGATCAAGGCCGTCCTGGCTAACACGGTGAAACCTCTTGTCTCTACTAAAAAATACAAAAAAAAACTAGCCGTGTGTGGTGGTGGGCGCCTGTAGTCCCAGCTACTCGGGAGGCTGAGGCACGAGAATGGCGTGAACCCGGGAGGCAGAGCTTGCAATGAGCTGAGATCGCTCCGCTGCACTCCAGCCTAGGCGACGGAGTGAGACTCCGTCTCAAAAAAAAAAAAAAAAAAAAAAAAAATGCTGGGATTACAGGTGTGAGCCACCATGCTTGGCTTTCCATGAATATTTTTTGAGCACCTACTGTGTACATGGAACTGTGCAGGGTGCTCTGAGGGATATGAAGATGTAAAAGACACTTTCTCTGCTCTCAGGAAATACAGTCTAGTAGAGAAGATCAATTATGCATTAAAAACATAAAATTCAAGTAGAAAGTGATGTGTCATAGAGAGGCCCAGGTTACTGCTCTGAAGATTCAGAGGCAGGAGACATCGCTGCCGAGTCACACTGTATAATGAGAGAATCAAAAAGACAGCATTTGAAACTCCTGAAGCATGTAAACAATGTAGATATGCCAAGAAGTAGGCAAAAGATATTCCGGGCACCCATTCCATAACTTTGAGATACATGAAGGAGAGCTGTCTGTAGCCCTGATTAAATGGTGAGCTTCTGGGAGGCAGGGAGTAGATTTTGGTCAGTGTTTTCCTCCCCTGATTGGCACATGGTTGCCATGGTAAATATTAGCGAATGAGTAGGGGCTACGAGTTTCGTGTGGAGAGGAATGGAGCTGTGGTCTCTATATTACCCTGAAGCTCTTTGATTAGACTCACATGCTGTCTCAGAGCCATTCCTCTAGGGGAAAGAGGCGAATCGGCAGATGATTATGGGGCAAGGGCCATATTGTTGGCATCTTTAGTGCAGTACCAGCTGAGAGCCCAGGGAACAAGGTCTCATCAGTGGATAAGGGGTTTGTGAGCCTGTTTCCCTGGAACCAAGGTGAAGAACCATGAGGGAAGGAAACGGAAGCATAGGACCATGCAGCAGTCCTCAGACCAGTGACGGACACTCCCTTGACTCTTGTGTCCATTCTTGGCTTTTCTTTTTCTATGGCCCACTCCTTCCTAGGGAGATTTCTCTCCCATCTGTGACCCAGTTGGTAGTGGGAAACTGTGTCCACCATGCCAGCAGATTGCCAAGACCTGCCGCTGCTGCACAGGAAGGAAGCTGGCTTCAGCACACCATCTTCAGGCTGACTTCCAGGGCCCTGCCCTTTTCCAGTTCTGTCCAGGGCTGAACCTGCACTAGGAGCTAACCTTGAAGGAGACCCCTTCGAGACAGGTGTTTAATGGCCTGTGGAGGGGAGAACGACCTCAGGAGCTGGGATAGCAAAAGTAGAAAAGATTGAAAGGAGAATGGCCTGAGGACAGGGCAAATCCTCCCAAGTCCTGTTTAATTCATCCAAGGTCTAGATTCCCACTGGAATCTTCTGTTGCTCAGAAGGTGGAGTCATCCTCAGAAAAAGGAAGCTGGGGAGAGATTAAGCAGATGCAACCAGACAGGGGATAGAGCACAACTGACTGTCTTTTTTGTCCCTAGATATGGGATGTTGGAGGACATCTGGGGACCACAAATACTCCTTCTCCTGGAGATGCAACTCAAGGTGAGCCTTTATACCATCGTTCTGGCAACCCGTGCTCCCTCTCCAGAGAATGGTTCTTCCTTTTCATCCTTCTTTCCCACTTTACTCCCGCTCCACGGGCCACAGGTAAGGGCCTGCAGGGTGTATCAGGATTTCCTTATAGCTAAGTGCCATGTGAAGCCTGAGTAGCTCCAGGCCTGGTACTTGATAAGAGGTTATGACAGCCCAGAGCCTGCCATGGAGGCCTCTGTCTGCCTACTTCAAGGGCGTTATGGTCCTATGCAATTTACTAAGCACTGGCACTTACATGTGATCTCATTTAATCTCAACAGCTATAAGGTCTTGTATTGTGACTTTCACTTTTCCACGTGAGGGATCTGATTTCTTAGGTTGTAGGTCAAAGAACTAAATGATACCACTGAGAGCAGTGCTCTTTCCACCGCCTCCATAATCACTGACAGGGTGCCATCTGTCTGCTAGTGAGAACACGGTCCTAGGTTAACCTGAAACCTGAAACTAGACCAAGACTCTCCTTTTTTCCCATTTCAGCTAGAATTTCCTGCCCATTTTCCTCAGTGTCCTATCCCAGCACAGCTTCTCTGTGTCATTGGACACGTTTGATCTGAGTTTCTCGCTCTCATGCCCTCAGTACATGCTGACTTGTTCTCAGGGCAGCAGGTCCCATCAGAGAGCTTGTGCTCTTCCCCTTGACTCTGCCAGGTGCACCCTCTCCCAGGTAGGCACCCTGGGTAGCTGTGAGACTTTAGGGGATTCTGTATCTGGGTTAGAGAACCAGGAATAGGAAAACTGTTCCCCTGCTGGGTGGGGAAGGAAGTTAGCAAAAGTTTGCCTGATGGGATTGGCCTGGATAGTAATGCTACACCCTATGCGACCGCATCTCATTGGCACCCCTGGCAGAGCAGCTCAATGAGCCATAGAGGTAAAGGTGGAAGGTGAGTGTGGCAGGGAAGGTAAAGGCTCAGGCTAAAGGCTAAAGAAGGGTCCCACCTGCTGGCATAACTCAAGCCGGAGCCATGGAGGCGGAGGTGGGAGACACGTTTGGGTAAAGGAGGATGCCCCTGGGGAGAGGGAGCTGGTTATATGCATCCTACATAATTTATCTTCATATGGCCTGAGAAGGCTTGGAGCTGGCCTGCTTTGCCCAGAACAGCAGCAGCCTGTCTCCCCAGGCAGCGCACACTGCTGTGCAGCTCCTCTCTTGGTTTGGCGGACTGACTCCCATCCTCTGATGGCCCTCGAGAGACCTTTTTCACACCCTCCACCCTCCCTGGTGGCTCAGCTAGATGCCTCCTCCAGCTCTATCCGCCGTCTGAGATCTGATCATCCCAAATGTTCCTATGCCAGGCTGAACTCTGCCTTCTCAGAATGTCCTCACTCCTGCCAACCTGAAGCTCTTATTTTCAACACAGAAATGGGAAATTGGGAGGGAGGCTGAGTGCCATGGGGCCTAGAGTATGTGGTTTGGAGGCAACCAGTGGAATCATTTTTGGGTTAATGGGATGCCTGAGCTGATAAGCAGAGATCCCCCCGGCCCCTACTCCCGAATATCCCTGTGGTGGGTGGCGCTGTGTGGAGCAAGGCCTATATGCAGCACGATCCGCAGGTGGTCCCCACTTGCCCACCCCACCATCCTGCTGCAGCTTCACCCTCACCCTCCACCTCAGCCCTGTTCATTTCTCTCTTCCCTCTTTCCCTCCTCTCCTCCCTCTAGGTAGTGCAAGCAGCAGCTGTTGACCCCAGTGGCACATATGCTTGCCTGGCCTATCTGCACTTGAGCTTCCTACGGGTGCCCATCTTGGCCTGCATGCTGCAGGACTTGTGCTTCTGTGCAGATACCTCTGATTCTTCTCCTCTTCAAAAGGAAAAAGGACTCAGATAAGAGAGGAGGTTAGGGAAAGAAGACTTGAACTACTTTTTTTTTTTTTTTTTTGAGACGGATTCTTGCTCTGTCATCCAGGCTGGAGTGCAGTGGCGTGATTTCAGCTCACTGCAACTTCTGTCTCCCAGGTTCAAGTGATTCTCCTGTCTCAGCCTCCCAAGTAGCTAGGATTACAGGCGCATGCCACTGTGCCTGGCTAATTTTTGTACTTTTAGTAGAAATAGGGTTTCACCATGTTGGCCAGGCTAGTCTGAAACTCCTGACCTTGTGATCCACCCGCCTCAGCCTCCCAAAGTGCTGGGATTACAGGCGTGAACCACTGCACCCGGCCCAGACTCTCTATTCTTTTGCTGAAGGCTTTTATCAATCTGATGCCAGCCTACGTTTCTGGCTTTCTCTCCCAGAACATCCTAGTATGTACCGTTCACTGTCATCACACTAGACTACCAACGGTTTCTCAAAAACACTTTTTCTGCCTCTTCACCTTTGCTCATGCTTTTCTTTCTATCTGGGAGGGTTCCTTCCACCATTCATCTCTCCATTTAAAAATATTTTTTGAGCACTTTTTATTTTGAAAAATTTCAGTGCAGAGAAGTTGAAAGAATAGTACAGTGAACAGCTATGTAACCTACACCTGGATTCGCCAGTTGTTATTGCCATGTTTCTTTCTTTTCTCTCTCTTTTTATCCTGGACCAATTGAAAATAAGTTGCGGGCATTATGACACTTTACCCCTAAATATTTTGGTCTGTATCTCCTCATAATAAGGACATCATCCTGCATAACCACAATCTTTTCTTTTCCTTTTTTTGTTGAGACTGAGTCTCACTCTGTCACCAGGCTGGAGTGTAGTGGTACGATCTTGGCTCACTGCATCCTCCACCTTCTGGGTTCAAGCGATTCTCCTGCGTCAGCCTCCCAAGTAGCTAGGACTACAGGCGTGCAACCCCATGCCCAGCTAATGTTTGTATTTTTAGTGGAGATGGGGTTTCACCATGTTGGCCAGGATGGTCTGGATCTCTTGACCTTGTGATCTGCCTGCCCTGGCCTCCCAAAGTGCTGGGATTAAGGCGTGAGCCACTGCGCCTGGCCAGTCTTTTCTTTAAAAAAAAAAAAAAAAAAAAAAATCTGGGACTGAGTGTGGTGGCTCATGTCTGTAATCCCAGCACTTTGGGAGGCCGAGGCAGATGGATTACGAGGTCAAGAGATGGAGACCATCCTGGCCAACATGGTGAAACCCCATCTCTACTAAAAATACAAAAA